GCACATTTTGTAAAATCCATATTTTTACAAAATTTCTAATAAAGACATTTTAAATAAAAAAATGTGTACGAATTATACTAAATGTAATATACATAGCACTAAATATACATAAATTCCTAAATTGATTTCTTTTTATTAATTAAGTTAGTAGTACGTATTTTATCATATTTTTACTAAATCAATTTTAATTTTATAATTTTAATTTTCACATATATTTATTAAAATTGTATGAACTCAAGTACATTTATATTTTTTTCTGAAGTATTATTTTAAAATCACTTAGGACCTTCTAAATTTAGACCTCCATAATTAAAATAATGAAGACCACAAGAGCATCAGAGTTTTGTTTGAAAATATAATAAAACAGAAATTATTTCGGTGCCAAGTACAATTATAATTATAACAACTTAAATTGAAAAGCACTATGCAAAATACAGATATTAAAATTTGTATTAAAGAAACAGGTATTAGAAAATATTTATTAAATATTTAAAGTTTTTGAGCAAAATTTTCAAATAATTTGTTATCTAATTGAAAAAGGTAAAAAAAAAGTTGAAAGATGAAATAAAAAACCAAATTTTAAAAATGTGCTTTTATAATTTTTAGTTCATGTCAGAGTGATTTTTACTTATTCACTTATTAAGAAGAATGCTTTTCTAGTATAATTTCTAAAAGATCATTATTTCAAAAGAAGATCATGATTATAATGAATTATTTAAGAGACATTTAAATTCATTTATTAAAACTATGAGTTCTAGTATAATTTCAAGAAGAACATTATTTTTATTTCAAGAAGATCATTATTATAGTACATTCTGCAGCGAATATTTAATTTCAATAATTAAAAAGTATGAGTTCTAGTATAATTTCAAGAAATAAATCATTATTTCCTTCAGAATTATCATTATTATGTCTTTCCTTCAGTAAACAATGAGTTAGACACATATATTCGTTAATTAAAAAGTATAATCTCTAGTATAATTTCAAGAAGATCATTATTTTTATTTCAAAAGATCAATATTGCAGAAAACTTTTTAGTAGATATTAAAATTTAAATTAAAAAAATTAAAAGTATGAGTTCTAGTATAATATCAAGAAGAGCATTTTTACAGAAAATTCTTCGGTAGATATTTAAATTCAAAAATCAAGAACTATGAGTTCTAGTATAATATCAAAATCTTTTTTTTTTTCAAGAAGATCATTATTATAGTAAATTTTACAGGCTATTATTCTTTTCAAGAAGGTAATTATTAAAGAAAATTCTGCAATATATATAGTATTTAAATTCATCAATTAAAAAGTGTGTTCTATTATAATTTTAAAAAGATATTGTTTCTTTCAAGAAGATCATTATTAAAGAGTACATCTCTACAATAGACATTTAAATTCTTTAATTAAAAGTTGTGAGATTTAGTATATTATCAAGAACATGATCTTTTTCAAAATAATCATTATTTATCATTATGATCATTATCAAGAAAATCATTATGTCTTTCAAGAAAATCAATATAATAGTAAATTCTACAAAAGATTGTTAAATTCTTTAATTATTTTTTCAAGAAGCTCATTGTTATAGTTCTACGCAAAATATTTAAATTCACAAATTAAAAAGTATGACTTTAAGTAAAATTTCAAGATCATTTTTTCTTTCAAAAAGATATTATTATTGTAAATTCTACAGTAGATAAATTAATTTATTAAAAAGTATGATTTTAAAAAGATCTTAAATGTAATAAATTCTACAGTCAATTAAATTATTTAATTGAAAATTATGAGATTTAGTACATTATCTTATTACACATTTATCACATATTAATTATTCAGAAAGTCTGAGTAGATCAAGAAAATCATTATTTTTTCAAGATAATTATCATAGCGAAATTCCACAGTAAATCTTTAAATTCATTAAATACAAAATATGAGTTTAACAAAATTTCAAGATCTTCTTTGTTTCAAGAAGAAAATTATTATTGTAAATTTTACAAAAGTTAGTTGAATCACTTAATAAAAAATCATTAATTAAAAATTATGAGATCTAGCATATTTTCAAAGTGATCATTACTTTTTTCAAAATGATCAATATTATAAAAAATTCTACGGTGTTGAAAAAGACCCTTAGGTCTTTCGAGAAGATCATTATTATAGTAAATCTGGTATATTTTCAAGGAGATCATTACTTTTTTCAAAATGATCTATATTATAAAAAATTCTGTATTGTTGAAGAAGATCCTTAGGTATTTCAAGAAGATCATTATTATAGCAAATTTTGAAGTAGATATTTAATTTAAATTCATTAAATGAAAAGTATGCGAAATATAAATTATATATTGGTAATCCAAAGACTCCTTTAAAAAAATACTTTAAGACTCCAGCTACTGCAGCCTCCTTACATTTTAGTTAAATGAATTTCTATAATATATTTCTATTACACTTATGTGAAATATTTCACCGATATAATTTAGTTATTGAATAACCATCTCTTTTAGTCATGGGATTCTTTATGACCTAGTTTTAATAATTGGAAAATTTTCAAGCGTTTTATATAATGCAAAGTTTAAACATTTCTGCATTTTGAACCAAGTCCAAGAATATTTAATGATAATGAACCAAGAAGACTTAATATTCATATTATAGTTTGAAATTAAAAAATTTAAATAAAAATTATAACATCTGATATATTATCAGATTTTTTTTATGAAGATAATTGTTATAGTCAGATTATTTATTTCAAAAATGACAATTATTATAGAAAATTCTATTGAAAACTATAAATTGTTATATTGTTTCAAGAACATCTTTCGTAAAGTAAATTCTACGTAGGCATTCAAGTTCATTATTTAAAAATTATATGATCTAGTATATTCTACAGATAGTTTTTTCAAGAAGATCATCATTTTTTAAAGAAGTTCATTATTATAGTAAATTTTAAAAAATATATTGAAATTAAATAAAAATTATAAAATCTGGTACATTATTAGGATTTTTTTCTTCAAGAAGATAATTATTTTAGTATATTCTACAGATTATTTTTCCAAGATCATTATTTTTTCAAGAAGCTCATTATTATAGTAAATTTTAAAAAACATTTTTGAATTAATTAAATTTAAATTAATAAAATCTGGTATATTATTAGGATTTTTTTTCTTCAAGAAGATAATTATTTTAGTATATTCTACAGATTATTTTTTCAAGATCATTATTTTTTATAGAAGCTTTATTATAGTACTTTTAGTAATGAAGTAATGATCTAGACTAAAAAATACCAGATTTGCTATAATAATGATCTTCTTGGAAGAACTAAGGATCTTCCTCAACACTATAGAATTTTTTATAATATTGATAATTTTGAAAAAAGTAATGATCTCCTTGAAAATATACCAGATTTGCTATAATAATGATCTTCTTGGAAGAACTAAGGATCTTCTTCAACACTATAGAATTTTTTATAATATTGATTATTATTAATTAAAAAGTAATGATCTCCTTGAAAATATACCAGATTTGTTATAATAATGATCTTCTTGGAAGACCTAAGGATCTCTTTCAACATTATAGAATTTTTTATAATATAGATCATTTTGAATAAATTGATGATCACCTTGAAAATATACTAGATCTCATAATTTTTAATTAATGAACTGAAATATCTATGTAAAATTTACTATAAAAGTGATTTTCTTGAAACGATCTAACAACTTATATTTTTCAATTATTGACTACTATAGAATTTTTTATAATTGTCATTTTGAAAAAAAAAATGATCTTGAAAATATACCTAAATCCCATAATTTTTAATTGATGAACTTAAATATCTACATAGAATTTACTATAACAGTGATCTTCTTGTAACAATATAACAAATTATACCTTTCAATAAACAACTACTATAGAATTTTCTATACATTTACATTTTGAAAGAAATGATCTTCTTAATAATATACTAGATCTCATATTTTTTAATTAAATTATTAAAATAACTTTTGTAATATTTACAATTTTCTTCTTGGACCAAAAAAGATCTTGAAATTGTGCTAAATTCAAATTTTTTATTTAACGGTGATGTATTAGATAATTTTTAACTAAATATATGGCTTTGTTAAAATAAATCCAAGACATGGTCATGAATAAGTTTTGATCTAATTTTGGTTAAGAAAAAAACAGAATACATGGCGTGCACATGATATCTTTAAATAGTTTTAGAAATAGTTTTCTTACATTTAGCATTGTCATTGTTATTTTAGTACTCTGAAATCAAAACTATATATAAACACATATACAAAATTCACAATAAACCATTTTTGGACTAACATAAAATTCTATTGCCCTCGAATTTTACTAAAACCTAACCTAACTTACATCATGCCGACATATTAAGTAACAAAACTTGTTTTCCATGAATAAAAATTATATATTCCGACAAAAATTTATTATTTATTCATCTCGTATGCGTTAAATACATTAACAGCAAATTCAATGCCAAAAAAATAACCGAAGGTTATGTGTTATTTTAGGTTATGTGCAAAAAAAAGGGGCACTGAACTTAATTCAAAGGATCACCCCAAAAATTTTGACAGATGGGAAAATATACATTTTAGGTATTTATTAACATAAATATTATGTCTGTAGTGATTGTAAATAATAAGTTTGCAAGGAAAATATGGATCGGTGTGGTCATAACCAAAAAAAAATGTGTTCTAAAAATATATTTACAAACTTCTTAAATCAAATATTGTAATTCAATACTTACTCATGGAAACCTACAGTACACAACAAAATCCTTTATTATTCACTACACAAATTTTCCTCTTTCTTCCTTCCACAATTTTCACAAGTATCATTCATCACTTTGCACTTTGTAGATACTTTTATTCACAATTTATATTTTAATTGATCGTTATTCACACAATGTACAATTTTTATTAATATATATTAAACCAGATGCAAAATGTATTATCTAAGATTTGTTACAAAATTCACATGCACTACATAAAGTAACCTACCTTCTCACATTACAACTTCTGGCATTCACGTGCAACAGTAATTCGGTTCGCAGAGCCATCTCGTGGGTGTAACTGTAAATGACAATTGAATTTAAAATTTTGACAGATATCTGTCATAATTTTAACTGTCATGGATTTAATAACAAATATGGATTTTTGATAATAAAAATATATTTATATATTATTATTACTTTATTAAAAGTGTTTATTAACTATATTTCTTGTTACAAAAGATTTTTTATAAAAGCACAAGCATTAAATGCTTCTGCCATCTATATACGTTTTTTGACATAATGGTTAAAGCTAATTTAGAACCAAAGTAAAATTTTTTGTTAACTTCCCGTAGGATGGTATAGTAATCGCAAAAAAATCGAATATGAAAATTTTTGCATATCTTTACGTTTAAAAGGTTTCTAAACGTTTTGGCATACCTTAAAAAAATGTATGTATGCGAGTGTGTGAGTATGCATGTGTGTATGTATTTAGGTGCGGATACAATTTTTCGTCGATGATTTCGAGAACACGGCTCAACCGATTTCAATTATTCAAAAAACATTTGATTCCTACCGATAACCTGACGTGCTGTTTAGTTTTTGGTAGAGGCAGGTCTAGCCATTTCAAAGATACGGGGCAAAAAGTGCCAATAATGGTAATTAATTTCTGAGAGAACGGAGTGTCCGAATTGAATGATTCAAAAAACATTTTATTTGTATTAAAGTGAAGAATCGGTGGAATTTTTGGGAAAGCAGGTCTAACGGTTCCGGAGATGCGGAAATCCAATGAAAAGTGAAAGAAATTTCATTTGACGGACAAAATGATCATTAGACATATGCACATCAAATTATAACATATTTATAGATATTTTAGTAATAAAAACATATTTTTTTACATTTCTATAGATTCCGTACTAATGCTTATTCGTTTTACTATGACGCGGCGCTCACGCGCTTCGATATTTCGTTTTTACGCAGCTAACATATCGCGATTACTTTGAAAAAAGTTAAAAATTTCCAAAATATTTCAAAGCATAAAAACCCCAATTTTTCAAAAAGGTCATTTTTTTCCAAAAATTTTAAAAATCTCAAAAATCGTTTTTTTTTCAAAGTTCTAAAAAATATTTAATCCTATTTAAAATTTTAGGTTTCGGTACGGGAAGTTTCAGCAATTTGCCTTAAGGCACGATGCCATGCACCAATTTTTTAAATTGAATTACTATTTTTGGCACTTTTTGCGCCGAATCTTCAAAACGGCTAGAACTGCCTTTGCTGAAAACTAATCAGCACGTCTCCTTATCAATTAAAGTCGAATGTTTTTTTAATCATTCAAATCGGTTGATCCGTGTCTCTTAAATCGTCGACGAAAAATTGTATCCGCACATACATACTCACACACACATACATACATTTTTCTAAGGTATGCCAAAATATTCAGAAATATTTAAAACGTAAAGATATATAAAAAGTTTCATTTTCGATTTTTTTGCGATTTTGTAATTACTATACCTTTGTGAATATGCTAAAACATATGATTTTTTTTACTTATTTTGCATATGATTTATAAAAAATGTAATATTTTGCGTATAAATGTGTTAAGTTTCTAGAAGCATTGATGACTCTCATTTCAGTGTTCTGTTTTTTTAAAACTTCTGTCAAAATTATTAAAGTTTCTAAAATTTTAAAATTTTGAATAGAAACTGAATTTTTAATATTGCCTATAACATAAGTTGGATATGAATACACATGGTGAGCCAATGGAATTCAAAATCGGTTCAGCAGTTTTGAAGTCCATTTCGGACCAACATTGTGGCATGTACTGTATTACTATTAACTAATAGTCCAGTCATTTAAGCTTAAATTAGGTAAGAATCTCGGAATTCGAGATACCCAGTTGTAGGTCTGTAAATACTTGTGTATTGACACCCTAAAGTTGTTTCAAAACCTACATATGGTAGGGTCTACAATATATGTAGGTTTTAAGACAACTTTACGGTGTCAATATATAAGTATTTATAGACTTACAGCTGCATATCTCGAATTCCGAGGTGAATTTACTATAACGACTGGACTAAAATTGTCTTCTCATCCACATATGTATCTATGCTTAAAAATAAACTTTTGTAAAATCCTTTAATAATCAGTATAATTTATTTAAACTAATTTAAATAATTAATTTATTAGTTTAACTTATTTAAACTAATGTCAACAGTATAACGTTTTTTCACAACACTTCCGTTATTGTTTTTCTGGCGGATTCAACACAAATTGTACACATTGCTCCAATTCATTCATACTATGTGTCCAGGCAGGATCGAATGCCTTTCCTTCAGGATTTTCACGAAACAAATATTCTGCTAAATAGTCGATTGGATCAGAAGGTCGTACTCGGGCTACTTCTAATAACCACGGGTCAAAGTAGGAAGAACATGCCTGGTTAGGTAAAGTCGGAGTGGAGCAGCCTAAAATAGTAGACGCAGATTAACATTGGAAAAAAAGAGTGCGCATAAGGTTCACACGCGATTGAAGTAAAACTTATTTGCTACTGTACAAGATGGCATTTAAGTAAAAATAAATAAATTATATAACAATTTTGAATAATGTTTATTAGTAATATGGTGGTAATACTCGCGATGCACACATTTATTAATATTAACCATTATACATTTTATATGATAAAAATTATAAATTATATATTTACAATAACATTAAAAATATGAATAATATTTAAAAACAATCATGTAATTGGAGTCATACCCATTGCTGGATTTACAGTAGGGGCAATCGGGGCTACTGCCCAGGGCGGCAAATTTTGGGGGACGGCAAAATTTGGATAGTGAGAAAAAATTCTATACAATATAATCAACTTTTTTCAACAACATTTTTTATTTCAAGAAATATAATTAACAAAACATAATACGATTGCAATGCAAAATTTGGGTTGAAATAACCGATAACTAAAATTTATTATTTTGCATTGCCTCCCTCTCCGAACATAAACTTTCAAATTGGTTAATAAGTTATCAAATTTGGCCATTTGGCTAATATAAAGATCCGTAAACAAGCTGGAAGTTTAAGAAAAATATGTTTTTCAGCTTTCGAAACCTCTTACAATAACGAATTTGTGCACTTCCAAGCTTATAAAGTCGAAAAAAAATTTAAACTAGTGACTCATGGCATTGTGCCTTAAGACAAATTACTGAAACATCCCGTACTGAAAATTACATTTTATAAAGAGCTTTAAAATTTTTTGAAAAATGAAAAAAAAGACTTTTAAAGCACATTTTTTGTGTTTTGAAATATTTCGAAAATTGAAAATTGATGAGCTTTTTGCAAAGCAATCGCGCTGCGTAGCTGTTTCAGAGAAGAAATATCGAAACTCAATTACCAGTTTTCGTAATTGCCTGTTAGCACGTTCTCCCCATCAATACAAATCTAATATTTTTTAATTTTTCAAGTCGATTTCGAGAACACGGATCAACCGATTTAAATGATTCAATTCCTATTGATAAGGATAATTGAAGATATTATAATAATAAGTATACATTTTGTTTACATTTATATGCGTTCTACGACATTGTTTATCCGTTAGACCGCGACGCGGCGCTTACGCGCTTCTATATTTTTGTCCCTACGCAGCTGAAGCAGCGCGATTGCTTTAAAAAAAATTCGAAAGTTCGTAAAATTTCAGGGATGAGGCGGGCATTTTGTCAGTGCCCCGGGGCGCCAAATTTCTAAATCCGACCCTAATTACAATGACAAACCGATCATATCGTATTTGAAGTATGACTCATACTTCAAATACGATATGATCGGTTTGTCATTGTAATTAGCATTTAGAAATCAACCTTCATTAGAGATATGAAGTAATTGCTGATTAATAACTTCCATAAAATTCGTTCGCACAGTCGATTATGTTAAACAACGCCTAAACAAATATTGTTTTTGCAACTTCACTCATCATGTAATAATTGTGTTTGAAGAACTTCATGTAATTAAAATTAACGTACATTCATTGACTGCTTGTATTTTTTTTTAATTTTTTTATTTTTTCGCTGGCGATATAATTTCATTCTTCAAACAGGTGTAATATCTGTCTTGCCTAAAAAATGTTTTCCATTTTAATAACTTCAAAAATTTATAGAGACTACGATTAATATAGAAAAAAAATCTAATCAATAAATTCACGTTTAGTACACGGCACAAATGTTTAATTTGTTTTATTATTTTCATGGAGCAGGGTAAAAAATTCTTCTAATTCGGGTATTTTTTATTAAATCAAGATTTGTACTACGAGTTAACTTTAAAATGTTTATTTATCTATGACGATTTCCTTGTTATCGGTATCGGTACGCAATCAACGTTGATGCCGGTACGCATACAACGATAGATCTCTATTCACATACACGACGAATAATCACAATCGACGACCCGTATTGAAATGATTTTATCGAGAGCGAATGACGAAACATTGGGACTCGACTCTTATCTTATCTTATCTGCCGTAACGCACTTCCGTTGCATTTGTACGGATTTACACCCTAGTCGCGCCTAAAGAAGTTTTACTTCAATAATTATTATTACCTGACTGGCCAGCAATGCTTCTTCTTCCTCCCGAAGTTTCTCAAACAATTGTGTCCAATCTTCCATCGCCTTTTCTCTCTGTCTCCTAACTTTGTCCAATTGTTGCTGTTCCTTGAGTTCTTTTTCATGCTGCTGTTGATTTTTCTCTTGTTCACGTTTTTTGATGTTACCCAATTCTATTTCTATTCGTGTCAACATGAAATGTTTTGGTGGCCCAATTCTATCGCAAGCGATATCGAAAACAGCCTCAATAGTATCATATTCTCGACTGATATCAATTTTGGATGACGCTCACATTCGTCGAAAAAGTTCAGGGAAGTGTTTGTGTCAGTATTTCTGGCTCTAAATTCCGATAAGCGACGCAACATTTCATCCTAGGAGAAAGAAGTCAAGTAAAAAATATTGCCAGTGATAATTAGGTAAAAGTTCCTTTACCTCTGTATAATGTGTTCCTTCTACTTCGCATTGCGGCAACTCCATAA